CTTTTCTTATAAAACAGACCAATGGATCAATGACTCGCAGGAACACATATGTGTGTGAACGAACATCTACTGACCGCTATTCAGCTATTCCCAATGGCAAAGACAGCAGGTAAACAAGCTCTCAGTTAACTGCAGGGAGATCCACACAAATACCTTTTCTGTCTAACTTTAAAGCCGTTATTACAAACCCCCATTGTACGATATCTTTCTGAAATATCTTGCTCCTTGGTACACAGTTTAACCGAGGTGTCGGGGAGCACCTCATCGACTGCGATGAGCTCGACAAGACCTCGTCACAGCAAGTCCATGTCGTCGTCGGGGCATCCTTCAAAGAGCACACTGCCCCCCATCGACGACAACACAGAGCTGAAATCCAGGTGAGCAGCTTGATCTGCAATAAATGTGTATTCTTTGTATGTAAAAGTACATTTGGGCCACAGTATGATAGTATGATTTACTTCCAGATAACAGTATTTAAAGCAAGCAAGCTAACACAGAATCCTTTGACACATGTAGTGATTTTTCCTGTTTACGTTGCAGCTCCTCTCCGCGGGGTCCCTCCAGCTCTCCGTCTGCACACAGTATTAGCACCCCAGAGAAGAACCGGTTCCCCCGGGGCACAACCAGTCGCAGCACCTTCCACGGAGCTCAGCTCAGAGACCGGCGCAGTGCCACCTACAACGGCCCCCCGGCCTCCCCCACACTGTCCCATGACACGGGGGCTCTCGCTCAGCAACGCAGGGGCACCTCGACCGGGATCATCGGCAAGATCACCTCAAAGTTTGTTCGCAGGTCAGTGAAAACAAACAGGGTTTTATTTACCACAGTTAAGGTGTATATACATTCTCTTTGGCATTGAAGTCGAAGCCGCCACGAGTGCTCCTCTTTTGAAGAAATGTATTTCTTTGACTACTTAGTCCGACAAAATCATGGAAGTTGTTTTATATAACTGTCTGACATTATGACTAATCTTTGCTTACAGATATTACACTTAATGTCAGTTGTATTAGCTCTACTCGATCGAAAGAAAAGCCCATTTAGACGGTTATATAGCTCAGGTCCAACTAATCTCTACAAGTTTTGCAATTTAACATTTTGCCTGTATGTCATCTGCTTTCATTGTTGAAAACATTCTCTTTACATGCATCCACAATATGAATCCAAACATCTTTTATATCTATAGCTATACAAAGAAAAGCGGAAACTGATCGCAATAGTTTTTAAGGTATTTACTGTAGTCATAAACCAAAAATACTGGACACATTGAATGGCTAAAAGATCAGTCATGGATATTTGTATATCTTTGGTTAAGTATAGAAAATTCTACACATTTCTCTCCGTGAAACAAATACAGAATCACAAGCTCCCTGCAGCTTCAGCAGATACCGTCTTTGATCTCCTTCCAATCTTTAGTGCTCATTATACACTAGGGCTGCAACAAACGACTCATTTGATAATCGATTAATCTATCGATTAATGAAACGTTTAATCGTTAAGGTTTTAACTGTGCTACTACTTTTATCGATACTGCTTATCGATGCGGTCCTTTAACGATAGTCTTAACGGTTCTTTTGAAAAGAATAATCGATTAATATTCGCCAGGGCTGTCCGATTTTCGATTTTGATCATGGTCAGTTTCTGGCATCCCTACAAGTAACTAAACAAATTGTGAACAAAATTAACATTGCTTTTTATTTAAATTAAATAAATAATTGTTTACATCAAAAGAAACAACAATGTTTTAACAAATCGTATTAAATAATGTGATGACAGAATTGTAAACAAAATAGCTGAAACTTTAACAAAATAAATAACTCGGTTACCTCTAATTATTAACCCATGTTTGAATCATTGAGTTAACTCTGTGTGTTGCTGCTAGCATACATAACACCTGACGTGGAAAAGTTACTCGTGGATGGGGGTTCAGAGCTACTAGAAAGACAGTCGAACCCGGTGCATTTCTCCGTCTGATTGTGGTGCACTTTTGCAAGACGGAGTTGGCGACACTAAGACTGCGATATAATGTTTATGTAGCAATAATACATATGACATATATGTTTTAAATGTCTCCTGTACCGATAAAAAGACCGATAACGTTGGAGCTTAACTGCCTGTGAAACACACGTGATGACGTCACCATCTAATCGACGACTGAAGTTGTTGGCAACTAATTTGGTCATCGATTTTAATCGATTAAGTCGATTAGTTCGCACACTGCACTCAGCTTCAAGCTGGTCCATCTGGTCGAGGCTCACAGCTTTCTCTCCTTCTCTCCCCACATAGAGCTATGTCTTTCAGGTCCACCCGGAGGTAGGAGAACAAAAACGCTTGCTGCACCTATCCCCCCTGTCCAAAAAAAAAGAAGTCCACTATGACCTCGGCCTGTGTTACCTTAACCCCTTTATGTATTTGCCCACCACACCACATCCTTGCCTACTGACACCCCTGTTATGCCGTGTATTTCCTTCCCTTGTGTCCACTTCCTCAAGAACAATCGTCACGGCTCACCAGTTTTTCCTGAGGTAGCTAAGCCATGATATCTGCCTTTAAAATGGCTGGCCTTCCTCTCCTTCGTCTCCATCAATAAAGTAAACCAGTTATGTGATAGAAAACAGAACTAGGACTTGGAACCACTTTTCCACTCCTTACAGATTAGTGGGGATTAAGGAAAGGTAGCGAGGGATGATGCATTTGTTATGGTGAGGGGGCTACATTAGTATGTGCATCGAGAAGTCACAGTCACCCCCATGTGCTGAACCCTGATACCCGGGAGTGTGGATTCTTTCCTGGCATGATGCCTGACTGTGTCCAGTGAGGATTGGGGTTGGGGGGAGCCATGTTGACTTCAGCTCATGGGAGTAACAGTATGACCCTGTTTGTTTCAGGGTGCCTAGTGAGGGAGAGGCCAGCGCAAGGACAGAAACACCAAGGTGAGGATTTGTTGAGATGTAGATTTTAGTTTCAAGGCTTTTATTGTCATTTGTACATCGCTACAGTGTTAATATGTACATGAAAACTTAGGTCACAGGCTCCTCCAACAGTGCAACACAATAAAACAGATACAAATAGTTAAAATAGTGCAAGTGAATACAAATAATATAGAATAGAATAGTGCAAGGAGAGTCTATATACAAGTAATTGGAATATGATATATTAGATAAATAATTTGTAAGTTGCAAACCGATGAATGTTATGGATGTTCTTTCAAAAGTTCAGGTGTTTAACGGTCTTATGGCCTGTCGAATGAAACTGTCCCTGAGTCTGGTGGTTTTAGACCTGATACTGCAGTAGAAAGCTTGTTAACATCCGCCGCCTCCTTTAAAGCCTCTCTCCACTTCTCTTTCTGTCTTTGTTGTAGAAGTGTGTCAGGCGACACTAAGGAGGACGGCAGTCGGGACTCGAAGCCTCGCTCGCTCCGCTTCACCTGGAGCATGAAGACCACCTCCTCCATGGAGCCCGCCGAGATGATGAGGGAGATCCGAAAGGTTCTGGACGCCAACAGCTGCGATTACGAGCAGCGCGAACGCTTCCTGCTGTTCTGTGTCCACGGCGACGCTCGCCAGGACAACCTGGTCCAATGGGAGATGGAGGTGTGCAAGCTGCCCCGCCTCTCCCTCAACGGCGTGCGCTTCAAGAGGATATCGGGCACGTCCATCGCCTTTAAGAATATCGCCTGCAAAATTGCCAATGAGCTCAAACTGTGACGGCAGATGGAGTCCCGGTCAGTCTCATCTCATCACTGGATTAGTGTTGACTTACAGGACAAAATTCAGCACTGAAGGTCCTCACCTCGCAGAATCAGGGTGGACTCGGCTGGTAACGTGCAATACTGGCCATGAATGTACTGTACAGGGTAGTGGATCAGAGAGGAAACGCAAGGTTTAACCTCTGTGACGGAGAGATAGCAAAAACAGCTTACCCCTTTCTCTTTTTTTTCTTCCGTCCGGCCCTCTGCCTCTCTCATCAGCCCGCTGCTCCTCGTTATAGCACACATTCAAGTAACAAATGCAGTATGCAACTGAAGATGACCATCCTGCAATAATGTTTTCAATCTCTTTTTCTAAACGCCTACTACACGATCTACTCTCCTCGCTGAATAACCATTAAAGTTACTGAAAGCTAAAATAGCCGCTTTTCCACCTGTGTTAAGTCAGTATATAGATCAGGCTGGATCCCGTACTAAAACTATGTAAAAAGAGAATTGTACTGTATGCATAACATCTGCAGGTACTGTATTGTATATTAATTTTTGCGTTCTGTACAGAAATGTATTGTCAATATGTCTTTTTTCATGGATTTTAGTTCTTTCCTAACATTATTGATGTCTCTTAAGCATTATCGTTTCAGTCTGTGAGGTTTCTTTTTTTTTCATTTTTTTTTTAAGAGCCACCATCGGAAAATAGTGTTTTTAATTTTATTTAAAGAGCACTAAATTATTTTGTGGAGTATTAAGGGATGTGTTCCCTTGCCTTTTATGTTATATTTTATTTGCCTATGGAAAAAAACACTAAGTTGCACCACATAGACTTGAGTAGTAACTTTGGTTAAAACTGAAAATGTGTTCACTTTATTTTCTTTCAGCAGTAGGTAATGTGGAGATCCTGCTGCAATTGCACAAGTTTTCCTGGGTGATGTGTATGAACATGAGAGTATGCACCTGTATTTCTTTCATGTTAGTTTGGTAGTCCTCAATTACAAAACAAAGCAGGGTTTAGTTTGGTGTGCTTTAGAAAGCGGAGGACGAAACGTCTTTATCCAGATGAGTGAAGATGCATGAAAAGTCAAACAATCACCTGAAAGAAGCAGTTTCTAAAGAGCCCGATTTAATCCTGCCACCCGTGTGATTGTGCAGGTACTTGTGTATCTCCTTGCTTGTGTTTCTTTTTTTCTTTTTTTTCAGCGGATTTTATTGTATTTATTCCATTACATTGTAATGTGCTGCTTTGTAGAATTGAGGCGTGCACTTTGTTGGAGAAAATAAAAAGGATTTTATTTGTTTGTATTTATTTTATTTTATTTCTCAGACACAACTAACTCAAAGATTACAATTTTCCCAAAGCGATGAAGGAGATGTGTTAGTGCGTGTTGTGCACATCACACTGAAGCAATGTCATGCTACTCAGTGCCAGCAGGGAGCTCAGATGAGATGTCACAATTAATAATGTAAACCTTTATTGACTCTAAATAGCAAGATAATAGTCAATAACTTATATATAGTCATGTCACAACGTTTGTTTTTGCATACATGTTAGTCAAAGGTAAAGCATTATGAACAGTTCCTTTTGAGTGTGGGAAAATAGTTCCTGTGTGCCCAAAATGTTTTCCATACTTCTTCTGAAAAACTGTAATTTCATTACTTTAAACATTATACAAACTATTAACGATAAAAATGTAAGTTGCAAAGATTTACAGGTAGATTCTCACTCAACATTTCTGTTGGTTTCCAAATTATAAACATAATTTAAAATCATTTTCAGTAACAAATATGTATCTAACTAGCGTGGTCCCTCTTAAACTTACAAAAGCTTCATTTACAAATCTTTAAGCGTACAAGTGGAAAGACAGAAAAATGTAAACTTTTCATTTTGGCAGGTTTGTTAAACATGTTAATAGGATAAAAAGTACCTTATCATTATTTTCTGTAGATAAATATATGAGATTACAAATGTATAAACATCGCTGAGTCACATGAAAAGCGGAACACAGAAAAAAAAACCTACTGGCAATATTTAATGTGTTGATGCATTCGTCAGGGTGGGACAGCGTGTGTGAGGCCGGTCATGCATTAATGTCTCGACAACATATTGGGTGTAATCCTAACTTGAGGTGCATGCATTGAACTCAACATGCATCTCAGTCAAATATATTGAGTTGAGATGCATGTATCTTTACATGTATCATGATTTGGATGGAATATTTAAAAAAGGAAAGGGTTATGCTTGCCTTGCTCAAGTTAGGATCACCTGACGTTTGTTGCAGTGTTGTCTGCGGCAACAAACATCACCCCAAACAGAAACCACTCAACCAACCAGTCCAAACAATCAGGTGCTCAGATCTATGACCAGGTGCTCATAAATCTGAGTTTTCCCTTTGAAACTGGAGGCCAGCAGGAACTGCCGGTTGTCTATGGAGACAGGAGAGAAGGCCCTGGGCGCCTGGATGTTCAGCTCCTGGAAATGGACAAACTCGCCCTTCTTGGCATCCCAGCGGTACACCTGGGTGAAAGAGTAGTCGCTGCCCAGGATGGCGTACTGCCAGCTGCCCACAGAGAAGGGCTGGAACACCATGGAGCCACGGGAGGGCACCGTCTGCAGCTCTATGAAGAGGGCCCCGTCCCAGCGCATCACTTTGGAGTCGCCGATGAAGCGCGTCAGACAGATGAAGAGTTCAGAGTTGACCTGAAAATGCTTCACAGCGTAGACGTCCTCCATCTCTGGGATGTCGGTCCGCCTGTCGAACAGCTTGGTGCCTTTGTTCCACTGGTAGATGACCGGCCTCTGGGAGCTGCTGGACAGGACCAGGTGAGGTTTGGAGGAGATCTCCATGAACTCCACATCTGTGTCCCGGTACCACGGGTGGAGAGACTGGTGAGAGTAGAATCCGTTGCCGTTCCACTTGTAGATAGTGGTGGAGCCGGCCTTGGAGCTGTCTGCGACGACGAAGAAGGATTCTCCATCAATGCGGAAGGTCTCAACATCATTTGGTTTGCGGATTTTCAGGATGTCGATGCCTTGGAGCTTGATGAATTTGTTGGCAGAGGTGTCACGCTTATAGATGTGTGAGCCGCCAAACAGCTGAGCCACAATCACAAAGAGCTGGTCGTCAATGACCAGAGGTTTGCAAATCACTGTGGATATGCCTGGTGAGGAGAAAGAAAGGAGAAAGACATTACTTTTATGTCTCCATCTAGTGGTTTCTTTTAGACTCACACAGCTTTACTCACTGTCAATGTCATCAAAGTTTCTGAAGACCATCTCCACATGGTCCCACTCTAGAAAGCTGCATTTCCCAATAAAGGGCTGGGCAAACACAACATACTGGTCATTCCCAAAGGAGAATGCCTCCACAGAAATGGATTCAAACTTCAGGGACTGGTAGGATGCAAACTCTGTGAGAGAAACAAAACCACATTTCAAATAACATTGCAAATGTCAGGGAAGGCTGTGATGTTAAAGGTCCCTGATTATACTGTTTTTCATCAATATATAATAGGTCTCAGAAATATATAAAAAACATGTCTCTGAAGTGTTTGGCTTGAAATACTCAACAGATCACCCATTGTAGCATCCCATAATCCCCTCTGTTTCAGCCCTGTTTCAAAAGTGCTGATTCTCTGTCTTTTACTTTAGAAGAAAATAAGGAGCCACTCCCCACGCCCCTCTGAGAGATATTTGGTTAAAAAGAACACAATGGTGCTCTAGGAGGAGATTCAGGTGATAAGGTGGGGGGTGTGTTACCTTGGTTGGTGATTGGCTAATGGTTAAACAAGCCAAAACATCGTTATGACATCATAAAGTGGCCAAAATCTGATCAGCTCATTTTCAGACAGGTTTTTATATAAATGGATCAGGACAAAATGTGAGCAGATTCTCTTTACACAGAGGGGACACATGTTTATGTATAAAAGACATGGAAAAGTGGATTTTGCATAATAGGTGACCTTTCAATTATATCATCTTCTGTACTCCACCTGTGGTGATGCAGTCGAAGGATTGCGGCACCAGATCGTTGATCTTCTTGTCCAGCTGTGAGGCCGGGCCTTTACAGTGAATCTGATCCACTGTGGCGTTGGTGCTGTAGATCCACTCCACCAACCACTTCAGCTTACAGTCACAGCTGAACTGGTTCCCTCGCAAGTCTCTGAAGGGAGAAAAATCACCAAACTAATTTGAGGAATCTCAGCTTTTTTGAATGGATTATATTTTTAAACACTGCAGTCATTGATGTATGACTGCTGGCTCTGCTCTCTGGCCCTCACAGCTTCACTATGTGCTCTCATTAACATCAAGAGGGACTACAAAGGAGAAGTGAACATCTTCAGCGGGTGATAGATTGCAGAACTATCTCTCTTCCTCACTGCCGCATGTAATTTTTATGGCGTTAAAAGCACCACCCACACATTTTTCAAGCCTAGGATGGAGAGGAATAATGATCCAGGGTTCTATATATAGAAGAACTCATTGTCCTCGATAGCATAAATGATATGTTCAGTTATGTAACCTTATGTGATTTATCTCTTTGTTTCAAGATGACGCAGGATTTAAATTCATACTCACACTTTCGTCAAGGCCTCAAGACCATTGAACAAATCTTTGGGCAGAGTCTCCAGATTATTGTAGGCCAGGCTCCTGAAGAGAGAAAAGGAATAACTGATCAGATATAATGGCCACTTGTTTTTGTTTCATTGTCTGTTTAATGGACCTCCACATTAAAACGTTATACTGTTTGCATGTTCATTTGTCGGAGGAACCTTGAGCGGTTTATACAATCTGAGTGCAGTAATGGTAACACAGTGATTCACTCTGTTTCCTTGCTGAGAAATAGAAAGATCTCTGAGCTTAGGCACATATTGGCACCCAGGAGACTGAAGGCAGGAACATTGCTTATTGTGAGTTTGAGGAAGCTATTTATAGAGCCTTCTCATAAATGTTATGGCCTTCTCTTTTTACAACTAGAAGAGGAACACATAACATATTTGTTCAGGTGGTATTTTGTTTTATTCGTTTTCTTAGAGCTTTTACAGAGATATCATGACATCATCATGTGTTCGAGCTCAACAGGTATCTAGAGTGTTTATGTTTTATCAATCATTTTCTGACATCAGTAAAAAAACTAACTTCAAGAAGAGATTTTACATAGCTACCCTTTATCTGTAACTATTTAATAGGTCTTGGGCTTTTTAGCTTTAAAACGTTTGACAGTGAAAGACACAGGATTTGTTTTAAACCAGTTCAACAGCTGCACAGTTTCACATAAAAACGTCTGTTGCAACAAATATTGTGTAATGAACTTTGTCAGAATTGAACTGGAATAGTTCTTGCCTGCACCTGCAGCATAATTACAACAACAGCTTTTAATGATCTCTTACCAAAAAAAACATTGGTGATATGATTCCACATTAACATCAAACATAAATGACACCATCATCCAATTGTTAATACTGCATCTGAAGACAAATAGCTCTATTTTATGCATAACAAATATTACTCACAGATGCACTAGGGTTTTCAGTCCACGGAAAGCATGTGGTGAAATCGACTTGATCTGGTTGTTTTCTATGAACCTGAAAAAGATGTTGAATAAATGCATGAGAATGGAGACACTCTTGCTTATATAAACATCTTATAAACGTGTCATCTACTCACAGATACTCCAGATGAGGGAGACCGAGGAAAGCGTCCTCGTCTATAGATTCCAGGTTGTTGGCTGTGAAGAGACTGTGCAGAGAGATCCAGAACATTTCACTAATTAGATACCAACAAGCTCATTGGCAGCAAAACAGACCTGTGATAGAAAACACTCTCTTCCTCTTAACAGTGACCAAAATACAAGGATCAATGCTCTATCACAGTAGGGTCTAGTTTTCCATTTTGCATGAGTAAAGGGGGATTCCCTCTTAGAAAGGAGGGATTCCCCATCAATAAATCTCAAACAAATATATACACAAACACATGTTAAGGCAAGTCTTGGATTAATGCTCAACAAAGGGACTATTCTACTCTAATATAAAAATCAGGGAAATGGTTGGTAAAGGTAATTCTCTCCCAAATTATAATTGTTTCAGCTCCAGATTGTGATTTATAGTCTACCGCAACATCTATTCTAATATAAAATCAGTATATCATTTATTCTAATAAAATCAATACATCATTTATTCTAATAAAATCAGTGGGTAAGATGTCTTGATCATTAAACATGGCGTTGGTCACCTCACTGGGGACTGACATCATGCAACAAAGACAGAAGAACAAAAAGATCCAGAGAGATTTCTCACAGGAGATGCAGGGCAGGCGTGTGGATGAAGCTCTCCTTCGGGATTTCGGTGTATTCAGACTTGACGAATGATCTGTGGAGCAGACAAAAACAAACGTTAAAGCCCATGGTGTCTTATCCGAACTGTTATTCCAGTCTGCTTCTGGTCTATGCATTGTTGTGAAGCAGTAGCAGCATAGAAACCCACGTCCCAACTAGCACACCCCCCTGATTATGAATTCTCCATAAAGCAATAATTAACATGACTTACAGTGATATGACATCGGGGGGGAAGCTGCGAGGGATCAGTCCTGCGCTTTCACACAACGCGTTATCTTTGGTGCATGTACAGGATGAGGGGCAGCGAGGCGGTCTGGCTCTCTTGCTGTCCACTACAAGTAACACGGTGGCCAATACCAGTACGCAGAGCCAGGGCGATGTTTTGGACATTTTACTTGTATTTGTCATCCTTGAGAACCGCTGCGGACACGGCCTGCGTGTCGAAGAGTCCTACACATTAACCGGGGTCTCAGCTGTGGTTCCCGGAGGCCAAGCAACGCGCTGTCCGGTTTGTCTCCGTGCGTCGCCGCCTCTCTCTCTGGAGGTGATTAAACCGGGCGCTCCGTACGTCCACAGCGCTGTAATTACACTACACCCCCAAACCAAAAAAACAACACCCACCGTAACACAAAAAAAATCACAATCTAATACAAATCCACGCTGTAGTGCCCAAAGCTCGGGGAAAAATAGCAGCTGGCTCGGTGACAAACACGGTGTGTGTGAGGGCAGGTGGGGATCCCAGCGGGAGCAGACGGAGCATCACATCTCCATCCAAAACCACGCCTATGTGATTTCAGCAAACGCCACACTCTCTCCGGAGGATTCCGCCCAATGCTAAGCAAAGGAATGGTGTTATTTCCCGTGAATCAGCTGGAGAGAAAAAGACACCCTGACATGAGCCAGCGGATTGTTGCCTGTGGCGCAGACGCACACGGGCTTTCTATGCGGGGATCGGGGGGGAAACCCGAGGAAAATGAATTGTCATCATGAAAATATATCTGTAGGATTGTCTCAGAAGAGTACCATTACATAGCTTGTGTTATTTTGCCCTTTGTACTGTTGTTTTTTGCTACAATTTTAATGCAATTTTGTGTTTATTTCCTGGTTTTCCCTTGGTTTCCATGGCGACTGGTGGATGCAAAGTGTGGCTGTCCAGTGATGTAGGGGTGTGGGGAAGCCCTCCTGTCATCATGACATCTGCTGTGTTTCAGGCAAATAAACCCCATCCCCCTCAGGCCCCTCACAGACAAAGGACAGGTCTTTGCTGACATCCTGTTTTTCACTCTGTGTTTATTTCCTTAAAAAAAAGCCATATAAGAAAGCATATTCCCTTCATTTATTATATTTTATTCCTATTATTAACGGCCTTCAAATGTTTTTATGACACTGTTGTCTGTTGTGCCATGTGACATACAGTCTTTTTATTCAACATCTAATTTCACAGAGACCTCCAGAGGATGTAAGATTGATATGTTCGTTCCCTGTGCCTGGCAGGGCTGCATGCGTCAGAGCATTCTCGGAAGAAACATATTACTCTGCTGCTTTCTATACCTAATGTGATTACACCATTGATATCCAGTGTATGTTTACGTGGATTAAATAAATTGACTTACACAAATGAAAGCTCTGCATTCAGAGTAGCACGGTCACACTGTGGGAGCAGTTTCATTGTATGCTGCTTTACTGTTAGAGGGAAGGGTGGAAGAATAAAGCTTGTGATGGAGATCCTTTAAAGGAGATTGCTCACTTCTGAGAGGAAGTTGTTGACTTGAAGGAGCTGGAAGGGACACAAAGTATTTTTTTTATAAGCAGATGTTGGAACTTAATGGAGAACAGTGGTTGTTATTGTTGTGCTGCAAGATGATGGTTAGACACTACACTACATTTTTCATAAATGCCGTCATTCATGGCGCGAATAGAACACACACTGTCCAGCAACTATTTGACCACAGCGATGTTCGCAGTTATTGATACGCCTTTGCCTGTTTCTGACTGACTTCTGGGATCTGTGTTATTGGTTTTCTGTAACCATTTTGTGACTATACTGTATGCATGTGCATGACTTCATCAGTATATCTTTAAAGTTAAAAACATTAAATAAATCAAAAATAAATGTATTCCTAAAGCAGACATTCATTTTTTTCATTGCAGGTTTAAAAACGGTCTTCTTTAAAGGCCTGACCTCCCCACTAGAGGGAAATGTAGAGACAACAAAGAGCCCTGTCAGAGGTGGATTCATTTACCAGCTCTTATAATTATATGTGGACTTTCTTAAAAGTCTAATCTACCTAATTATCTCTTTGTAATCACTTACTGCTCAACACTTTATAATACTTAATTCAATCCTGTTTTTAGATATTATTGGTTAAGTTACTGGCCATTATATACTATCCTATTTCTGTCCTATACATATTATGTTATATAACTAAAAAGAAAAAGTCCCCTGTGGGAACAATACATATCTTATTAATCTTAAATAAGTTATTTAAATAATTACCAATATGGTTTTAAATCACTGTAAGAGAAAATGTATTTGCATATTTCACAATCACACATTCATAATCTTCCTCCTCCACCAGTGAAAGCCGCACATTAAGTGAACATTTTTGACCTCTGACCCCACATGCTTAAGGTGTCCTCTCAGGCCTCAGAGCTGCTTACCTCTCATGACGCCCAGGCTTTAGTAGGTGAGATGCTCTCTGGTTCCTGTATGAACTATGCCTCATATCAGTAGGATTATTACTAATGGCAGAAACACAAGAAAACTTCTTCTTAAATGTACATAATATTAAAAAACTTTCAGACACATATTCAACCATCACTGCAATTAAATATGTAAAAAGCACAAAAGCTGAAAGAATGAGATAATGTTGAACCTTAATAACCAACTATTTGTTGTTGAATATTCTGACCATATTCTAACTTCGAAGTTTCAAAGGATTTTGTAATATTCACACATTTTCCTAACATTTTGATGATCAGAAAATATGTGTTCTTGTTATAGTAAAAAGCAGGGGGACACAGGGATGCCTTTTACAACATGGGATCTTTCAGGGATTTTCTCACGTGATGTAACATAACATCTGCTATAGCCATCCTAAATAAGGTCAAACAGATCCAAAAAAGACAAAAGACATTTATCTTTTTAAGTCCAAAAAGATAATTGCCAAATGTCAAGACACAGGACTCTTTAACCAGCTATTGAACCCCAATGTAAACCTTTGTAAACTGCAGCCTACAAGAGGGGATATTGTTTTCTTGTTTCTGTACTCTCTGTAAACTATGATATGAAAGTAAGTGTATGGACACATTGGCTAGCTATAGCTTTTGCATATTCCTGTTGCTCATAAGGATGTGCATGTTCATTCGATGAATGAATATCAGCAGCCTGTAAACAGAAAACAGTAACGCAGGTCTCCTGTAAGCTTGTTAGCAGTTAATTAAAGGCTGGTGTTTGGTCAGTCCTGCTCTCCTAAACCCCTTGAGCTGTAACTCAGTAGTAGACGCAGTGTAAACAGACGCACCTCGGACAGTCCTGGGATCAAGAAGGTTAGAAGTCTCCATCAGGAAACTCCTTCTATTCAATAATGTGCTGCCAACTATCTCATACTCAGACATCCATGATGCAAAGCATAACATGAATATCACCCTTCCCGCTAAATATATGTAATTGGGCCACTTAAAACGCACAGCATGAATGACTTGAAAATAAACTTTATTGACATTGCCCATGTCTTTTACATGATGCTATTGCACATACAATTATGTATTTAATGCTATTCATTCATTTCTGTCAAATTTCTTGGCAAAGCATTCGCTGAGATTTAAAGTTCTAATGTTAACAAACGCGTGCATCAGAAGAAAACTGACATTGTTCCGTTTACAAGCTTCGTTTATGAAAATAGCAACACACCATCATAACATAGTTCAGTTTCTGCTATACTAGTGTATACTAGTGTGCTGCACAGTTTATGTATGACACCTTCCCGTCATGTAAATGCCACATGATCTCTGCACACGTTGACAGCAGTATTTTTTAATTTATGTAAGCAGTGGACTTAGCCAAAGGGGCTCAAAGGGGCTTATAACTAAATCCAATTCTGTCAAATCTTCTTACATCTCTCTATGGACATATGCTTGACATTTTGAAAGCACTATTTGCAATTTAAAAAATAAATGAGTTTAATAATTGTTGTTTGGTAAGCTCTTTCTATACAAAATAAGAGCATTTTATTTGACTATTTGCATTCCACCCCAAAAAAATCATATTTGAAGCCTAACATGTCTACTTAAACCATGGCAAAAGCAAAAGAGAGCAAGCTAATTATCCTTCTAGTATATTCAGTATAAATTGTCATAATGGATACAATCCATTCTTTAAGTATATACAATATTAATAGATGTTTTTATAGTATGACATAAAAACTGTATGTGCCCAAGGTTGATGCCAATTAACAGCTTTCTATATCAGAGAATATTTGTAATATAATAAATATGTATTGTATATAAAAATAATTATTCTTGGGTTCTTTCACATTAGAAATTCCCTCATCTGTTAACACACATGCTCATACACTTCCACACACACACACATTCATAAATGCCTCGATTGTCCTGGAGGTCTAGCAGATCACGCATGTCTTTGACTTCCCGGCCTCTTGAACATCTTAAGAGAAACAAATAAGAAAGACAGTGAGAAGACAGGGGACATGAAAACACAGAGCGATCAGGAGGGATGTGTTGACGCACCTTCGCCTCCACCCTCCAGCTTCTTCTTCTCGTCTTCGATAGCTTTCATTTTGGCCTCGTGGACGTCTGCGAGAGCTCTCCACTGGCCTCTGTTTATATTCAGCCCATCGAACATCGGAGTGATCTCTATGTGAAAGCGAGAAAACTCCTACAAACAAACAGAAAATAATTTAGGGACAAAAGTATATAAATATGTTGTTAGTGTTTATTTACTGTACATTATTTGTGTCTCTACCTTGTACACAAAGGAGCAGACAAAGTCGATGAAACCACATTGCATCTTGGGTAGCTCCTCAGCGTGATCTCTGTCCATCATTGGCTATAGAAGACGAGAGATTATAATTATTGTTATGACTTTATGATAACATACAGTGCAGGCAACATACCACAAATCATTAGGTTCTTACAATAGGCTGCTGATCAAGGACAGTCCTCTCCAAGTCGCCCTGCTCCCAAAACTCTGCTGCCACCATTAGAGCGACCTAGGACCACAAGAACCAGTAAGACGATGAGATCAGATGAGTGATTCATGTTTCATTATGATTCAGAAGCCGGAGGAAGGGAACGTACCTTGCTCTGAACCTCCCATGGCTTTGTAATGGCTGACAGGTCACAAGCCGTCATCATCATTGCCCTGCGGAAAACAAACGTCTCTATTAAAGAACATTTTCTAATGACAGAGAACACAAGACAATCTCCATACATGGTGTGAAGACGGACAGCGTTTTTTCACATGATTCAACTTGTATTTACATGATAATTTCCTTCCTGGTTGGATTGGTGGAGACGAAGTTGATCTTGTCTTTCTCGTCTGGAATCCCCTCCACAGATTCAACGATTTTCTGGAACATTGTTCTCTTCCTGAGAGAGGAGAAGGAGGTTAAGATATTTCCTTAAAAATCAATTAATAGGCTTACAAATTGTTACTATATGCTGAAATGGAACAAAAAACTCCTCACATACTTGAAATAGAGGGCGAGATCAGTGGCAATAATGCAGACTTCAAACAGATGCTGCACTGTTTCAAACTGACGCTTCTGAAGGTTTTGGAAGATGTTCAGGTTCTGTGATCGATAGCAAAGAAAAAAGTGAGAAAACACCAAAAAAAGAGCATGAAAAACATTTGCCATTAGATTTGTTTTTGTCTATCTATGTCAAACCACAACTACTGTCAATCACATACATGTAAAGCTATACGCACCCACCTCATTCTCCATCAGGTTCTTACTGTACTGAAGATGATGCCGCTCCATTACTGAGGAGCTGTGCAGTTTTGCCAGTGGGGACTGACTCCTACAATAGTCCAACAGAACAACATTCCAAATGTTTTAGTTTGTTTTATTATGTCTTTTTTAGTTTTCACCATCAATTTAATACCATTGATTTGACTTAAAAAATGATAAAAGTCTTACTTTGTCTGGTACAGATTGTTGGTTCCTCTGTGGTCAATATCGTGGCAGAATCCAGCATGGCAAAGACATCAAGATCGGTGTAATACTTCTTCAGTTTACCTGTCTGTAAAAGGATCAAAGAGGTCAACCCTGCATTGTAATAGAAAATCCACTTTTGTAATTAACAAAATAGAATTTTGGTACGAGAAATGTGCCTCACTAGAAGCAGAGAGAACATGGTTTGTCCAACGTTGAAACCGTGCCTCCAGTTGTGGTAGGTGACGTCACGGTATCCCCTCTGAACAGTGAACATCCATCGTGTCAGGGTCTGCAAAATCAAAACAGAGCTGCGATCAATCTTTAGATTTACATTGTCCAAAACAATTGTACATCCAGTCAAAGCCTGTGTTTCAGAACACATCTGTATCTTTTAGGGTTACATAGTGACTGATATGGTCCAAAGTCATGCAGCCAAAGGAAAATACTGGTTTAAACTTCAATGTAATCTCTCTGAATTCATAATGCACATATGTTGGTGTGTTGTGTGTTTCAGGGGATGGTGCGCTGCCCACACAGGCAGGCAGGGGGGAGTGTCGTGAACACAGGCAGGTTTCCTCTCTACTGTACCTCGGCTGGGACCTTGAACTTCTCCACCACCCCGAGCTCGAAGAAGCAGCGGATGCCACACTTTACGAGCTCCAGCTCTGACAAAGCGAAGTCACTGAATCGGAACTCGAGCAGCTCCACCTTCTTGGCATCGGGGATGTTGGTTCTCTGCACATTGGAAACAGTGTAAACCTTCAGTAAACCATCACAAAAGGAGTTTATGAGGAGCATTGTAATCCACCCATCACAGTGCTGCTTACCAACAGTTTGTACATCTCCTTCTGGTCACAGTCCTCTGGTGCAGAGCCAAACTTCTCTTGAGTGTTCTGTGGGGGAAAATTGAGTTTAAAGGGAGCTTGTTCCACTAATCTGTTTTCAGTCTAGTTGAAGTAATATCAGTAGCTTACCAGAATGAGCTGCACGTCATCAAGTGTGGCTGTTGTCTGGTACATGAGCATTTCCTGGGTAATATCCTTCCTCCACTCTGTCTTGTTCAGTTTGTCGTATGTGTCGCTATTCAGAGTGGACCAGCCAAGGAACTGGGTAAGAGCCTGGTGACATGGACAAATACAATTAAATTCTGTAATTCCAACAGATTCTTCCAAACAAACTATCTCCCACGGTAATTTCAATGATGAAAATGTGAAAAAGTATATTAAAGTATGTTTATAGTTTATTATAACAGCATTCAAAGAATTGAATTGGAGATATTAGAATAGGACAATGGTATGACATCATTTTAAACACAAATACTAATTAAAAAGAAAACTATTTCTACTGTTAGGGCTTAAAAAGTGGAACAATATAAACAAAAAGAGCCCCTGAAGACGGGTAGTTTCCCATACTTCTGTAATTTGTTCATCATTCTCGTCAAATGGTTTGCCATCATTTCTGTTGAAGAAAGTGGCAACTCCAACGATTTCTTCCTTTTTGTTGACAATGGGCAGGGACAGGACGTTCTTAATCTTCCATCCAGTCTCATTCACCGCTTCTTTCTGTCAAACAAATCAAACAGAACATCCAGATTATTTCAGTGTGCAAACATCTGAGCAAATGTAATTGAAATGCAAAGTAATCGTCTGCTTGAGTGTTCATCATGTTGCAGATCTAGAAGAAGTACAAAATAAAAGAGGTGATCACAGGTGTGTTTGGAAATCAGCAAATCTCAAATACACCGCAGTGTTCCCAAAAATGGAACTTACAAATCCGTTCTCAGCCACATATGATGGGAGGCCGCTGACCAGAGCCCAGTGGTCCGCAGGGGGGGCCGCTGTGAGTTCAGAGGATGAGTACCTGCTCGACTTCTTATTACACCAGTTAACCTCTACAAATATGAGAATAAAGCTACAGTGCATTGTGATACTTACGGGATAACTTTAATTTCCTCCTTGTCTTCCAGCAAGTAGTCAATAATCTTGTAGAAGCTGATTTCCTGAACGGGTTCACATAAGAGAGCATTTATTCATATTATATTCATATGTTTAATCTTGACAAATCAGTGAATAAGGATAATGGGAATATAAAAAACAGTGTTGGACTTACTCTGCCGTCAGGTGTCTTGGGGCCTTTGTATGGCTCCTGGTCCCCTAGTTTTATTGCCCACTCATCAAAGAATTCCTGGTGAACAAAAGGCCAATAAGTTTCCATATTTGTAATAAATACTTCATTAAATGTTTAGCTTTCTTCAGACTTTCGTTGACGCACCTTTTCTTTGGTCATGTCCAGGAGTCCCACGGAGTATCTCTCACACTTGATGTATGTCCTCACTGTGTATAAAGCTTTGTGAAACTGCCTCTCGATATCTGTCAACTCTTCAAAAACCTTGCTGGCTGACCACAGCAACACCTATTGACAAGAAAAGCATTTATGATTTTAGAGCAGCTGGAAAATATTTCCATTTTTATTTTATTGAGAAAGATGTCAATTTTCTTTCCATGCTGTTATTGAAAAAGAAAAAACAGAAAATATACAAAATGTACGCTGTATTTTTACCTGACTTCTCCTGGATTCTACATCCCACATGCAGGAAGTGTGACCTTGGAGGACGACCACACTAGCAAAGTTGATGTATTTGTTGAAGAGCTGCAACATAAGAGCAAAGAATCATATTGTCTTTGTGAATTATTTTTACTATGTAATGTTATTAAACAGATCAGAGTACATTTCTATATTGGATGACCTCTAGAGTCACAAAGAGGTCATGAAACAAGACAAGCAAACACATTTCTGAGCTTCCTCTCCCGAAATGGATTATAACTTGTGCTTTCATAATGGTGAACTAAAGTACAGAGTCAAGCCATTAATAACCAGGTCAAAGACAGTAAAGCTGGTAGGCTAAACTGATCCTATGATGCGACCCTGCTGCTGGATTTGTCTGCTTACTACTGCACGTTTCCCAGCTCACTTGGGGGAGGCAATAATACCCTCTTATTAAAAATGGAACATCCAGTCCACTTACCTCCTCATCACTCTTTGAAAATTCATCAGCACCCTGTTTGTTGAGTGCCATGATGACACCGATGGGCTCCTTTTCATACATGATGGGGACAGTAACCATGCATTTGGTGGTATATTTGGTCTGTTTATCCACAAAGTCATTGAAGTGAGTGTTCTGAAAAAAATAACAGGAGGACAGGTAAATGGGTGCACACAGAAAAAGTATTACTATTATCCTACTAAAATACAAATCGGCATTAAAGTGACTAAAGCAGTTATGTTAAAAGCTGTAATTAAGGTTCAGCTTAAAAAGCTATGCTACTTCTAATTGAAAACAAGTTATTTAACCTATACTATACCTATATATTTTTTTTAAAACATCCAAAAGTAATTGTTGGGCTTTAATAAAACTGAATAATAGGATTAATCTACTGTATGTATAATCTGTAATACAGACTGATGTGGTTTGTTAGTTCCACAAACCCCATCTATTTGTTCATTTATAAATGCAGGGTTCTATAATCAAGTTTATATTTTAATTAAGCCCAGTATCATAAATCACTAGTTCCATTTACATGACATTTCAATGTAATTATCTTTGGCACTAGCCCACCTTCTTAACATCTGCAACGTTCTGAGGCTTCTTGGTGTGAGCCGTCCATCCAACAATTCCCATGTCGATGGGAAAAACAATCTCTGCATTGGGATTCACAAGATCTTTCTCAAATGAGGAATTGTGGGTCACATCGAAGAGGACCGTGGACAGCTCGGGTGTTCCGTTGCGAGACCTGTAGCCGAAGTAGCTGCATCGATCCGCCTGGATCAGCAGAGCAACCCTCTTTTTATTTTATGCAGAGTTTTCTCCATCGAGGCGTTTGTCTTCAACTCCTTTATGATCTCGAATATGAACTCAGACTCCTGGATGGTGCTCACATCCTTGTAAGAGGATGGCTCTTTGACCTGCACCTGGTTGTTGAAGGCAGCAGTAATCACATCTGCCTGGACTTTCTTGTCGTAGTACTGCTTAGCGAAATCGGGGTTGTTGTCAAGAAACTTCTCTACAGTGTCCTTGTCTGCCATGTTGTCCAAGTTTGGATACACAATCCCCTCTGAACAAAGATACTCCTTTCAGGTGTGTACGGCAGTAAAGATGAGGCACTGCGGACTCTACTGAGACATTTTCAGAACTCCTCTGTGGACAGCGCTCCCACCTTCTCCTCTGTAACAGAAGGTAGTGAGTGGCTTACTGGGTAAGGGGATCCAAGGGGGCAATAATAACTTAAGCAAGGGTCATAAAGCTGCTGAGCTTTCTTGACTTGTAAATCCTGCCGCCTGTCATTTTAGTGGGGACAATCCCATCACAGGTTATGTTCACAGAGTTATGCACATGCATGACCTGCAATGTAGACCGGATTATGATGTCAAGACTGCAAGTGATCCTGAGGATTTCCTATTTTTTTCTGACAATATAATGAGATCTTGGCAAACTAATGTATTTTAGGCAGAAGGATAACCATACAACCGAAAAGAGGGTTAGAGGAGCCATTGATATGCTGATTAAAGCTGTATGAGTGTCTAAGAGAACTAGGAAGCAGGCACAGAGGTAATGTTATTATACAGCTGATACATTCAAAAAGAGCAGTGCCAGCTATTTCTTATTAGAATTATTATACAGAAAGTCCTCAAGATAAACAAGTGTTTATTTCTAGAGACTGGCTTTCCTGGGCCACTTCTGTCAGATGCAGCTACATTTAAACAGCGACAGGATTAAGTAGGATTGCAACCTGCAGCATTGATCCTAATTACTCTTGTTGGCGGGCAAACATTGGTTAGTATAGTCTGGTAGGAGACACATACTTGGAGCAAGCAATGGAATAAAATAAGTGTTTTTGTTCACTATAATAGACTAAATAAGCTGACTAATATAACAATTAAAACTATATATTTGTACAGAACAATCTTGATGATCATTGATGCATCCCTTGCGTTCGACCACTGCCACGGTGTACTTTTCTCAGCGGAGATACAACAGATCTGCAGCAGAACCTGCGCCAGCGGTTCTTGAACTGGAAGACGGAGTAGAGGATGGGATTGAGGGCTGAGTTGGCCAGTGTGAACGTCACCACCCAGAAGAACATGGTAGAAGAGACATCTGGGTGACCCAGGAAGTTCCTGGCCAGGATGAGAGAGGTGGTGATGAAAATGGGGCTCCACATGATCAAGAAAGAGAGCACAAGGACCAGAAGGGTTCGAAAGAGCCTCATATCTTTGCGGGAGACATTGCACTCGACAGAGTCTCCAACTTGGGGCTGGCTGTCTCGGTGTCGGAGCCTTAGTTTACTTCTTTTATAAATCTGGAACACAAATAGAAAATATTACAAAATAGTGGCTTCCTTTTCTTTATGACAGCATACAAAGTGGACAAAAAACATTACATTAAAACCATCTATGTAACATGGTCTGGTTGAACATATGGAGCACCGTCTCAAACTCCCATGTACTTCCCAGAGCTAAAACCATGTGTGGCTGACAGTCGGTTACTATCGTCTGTATCACTTTAATGTCCACATTGGCAGAACTGATTACCCATTGTACTGTTGTCAAGTTGATAGTGCAAAGCTCTGCACCCACACCCACACATGTTCACCTCCAGTAATTATTAAAGAACATGTATCTCTGTTCCCACAATAACAAAGAAATTACTAATCATTGCAGACGGCACAAAGTCGATAGATCCGCAAATAAATGGGCATGAGCTGGGATTAATAGTTTAATGAGTAATACAGGGATCTCTATGCAACTTAACAATTTAAGGGATAACACATCATTTACAATAGAGTGGAATAAGGTCAACCACTTTAGTGTACAAAATACAATTTGGGTCAGATGAGGGGTAACGTTTATTTTGTTACAATTGTAGGTAATTACTTAGCATCTTATAGTCCATGTAAGCGTGAGTGCCACAGATAGGGTGGCAAGGTAATGAAAAAGGTTGGACTAACTTATTGTGAGATGTTTTCACAGAAGGAAAAATAAAAGTGTAGTTGAGATTTCCTGATCCTAAAAACTCCACCCTCCTACAGTATAAACACTAACTTCCGGACATTACTCGAAGCACCATAAACCCACCTGTAATATTTTGCTGTAACTGAACACAATAATGACTCCTGGGAGAAAGAAGCACAGGGCAGTGTAGGTCACGTTAAACACAATCTCTGCAGTTGGGTCAGGCCACTTGAGAGTACAAATGTGTTCACGTTTCTGTGGAAAACACAATAAAACACTCATTAAAAAAAAAAGGTAGGAACATTTAGCTTTCCTTACTACCTTCAATCTTTCCATACCTGCCGAGGGAAATCCACATTGATCACGGTGAAGAACAGACTGAGGGGAAGGCAGGCGAGTGCAGAGAAGGCCCAGATGAAAAAGAGGGTGGCAGACACCATCCTGCGGTTTAAGGTGGGCACGGCCTGCAGCTGAAGGATGGCCAGGACCCTCTCCACACTGATGGAGGCCAGGGTGGTGATGGTGACACAGCCGCTCATACAAATCACATACAGCACGATGTGACAGGCCGTAAACCCCAGCGTCCAGGACACAGTCCACCGCACGGCCACTATCAGCGGGATCATGCTGACAAACAGCAGGTCGGCCACAAACAGGTTGAGGGTCAGAATGGTTTTGTTGACCAAATGCCTGCGTTCCCAGGTAAGCAGGGCTGCAGCGCCCACATTGGCTGCCACAGACACCAGGAAGACAGCGGTGATAACCAGGGTCTCACAAATAGTGATGGCAACATGATCCAAGTTTTCCCCCCCGGAAAAGAAGGAGAAATAACTTCGGTTTCTTACATGGAGAAAGTGAGTGTGATGGTGAGTATCCATATAGATGTCAAAAGCGTGTCTACTCCTGCAGTCTGCCAGAGAAGTGAATGGGGAAATGAGCTGATACCAGACAAGGGGAGGAGGGTTAGTGGTGACAAATCTGTGATGCTTTGTTCTTCCTACCTGAAGACAAACATTACGAGATGTTCTTTGTGCTGTGCAGTTAGACATTATTCTGGGCTACTCCAATATCACATTAGTTTCAGAAAACCCTTTCAAAGACAATTTGTTTTCTAACATCCACTTGCATTTCACGCATTTAATGACACACAACTGTTCTGTCGGCTGGGATTGAAACGACTTACTTGTGTGTTAATCCAATTTCTTATCTTCAATCAATTGAGCTATTTAGCGTGTAAACCTCAAAGAAGCCGACGAGATCTAATTAGTTAGACACCACTTTTATTTACGCTGTGAATTAGATTATCGGGTTTACTTCCTCTGTAGTAATGCAGTAATTGACCAGTGGTGCTCCCAAACACAGGATTTTCATCTTGGGCAAAACCTACAGGGATTTATTGATAAATTAAGCGGAGAAATTGACTTAATACATATTTGTTTTATCAAAACTAACACATTTATCATATACTAACTGTCTACAAACATGTGGTCTGTATGAAAAGTACCTGAAGGCAAGTGAGGTGTCCTAACCATATATTTTTAAAGCTGTTAGCTTAAAGTATGTTAACCCTTGGTGTCATGTTCCCTTTTAACCCCCCCCCCCCAGTCACTGCACAGACCTTTGACTTCCAATATTGTTGGCTAGCAATACAAATCCTCATCTTTAAATAGCACAGGAAAGGGATTAACGAACACAAGCTGTGTGAAGCAATTCATCTGGTTTCAATACTGTGAGACGAGGGAGGGGTCAAGGACCTGCAGCAGCACCTCAGTATCACACATAATTATCTTTATTTTCTCCAGTAAGCTACAAACAAGACCACTGGCATGCTGATGTTGAGCAGCATTTACTAGATTCGCCATTGCCGATTAGCCGGTTAGCTTTTGCTAGTTGGTCATCAACCAAGTGCACGTAAAGATGATGTGAATGACATTAGTTCTGCAGGTATTTGGTCAGAAACCTAAGTATTAAGCACATTTAAATGTTGCCTTGGTGGTTGTTGTATCCTTAAAGGCTTAATATAAAAAGGAAAATAATGCAAACAATTACAGCCATTATATCAAAATGTGGATATAATGCCTGTAAGGATATTTCTAATGCACCAAGTCTATGTTGAGATATTTCACTAGATTAGTGAAGTCTCAAGTTCACCAAAGTCTCTCGAATGTATTCTTTAGCGACCTTACATTTCTGCACTGCCACTACACCTGCTGGTAAAGCAAGAAAACATTTAAAAATCTAACCAAAGCTTTGTGGAATACTTCAAATACTAAAAAGCACAACATCAGCAATTCAACACAGTAGTTTATTAAAATAGCTTGTACCTCTGGTTACACAGTACAGAAACCTTAACAGAAGACAGAATTGAAGTTCTCGGCTGAGCTCAGTCCAGACAGGACTCTAGGTGGACCATCAGTTCTCGGTACTGACTGCTGGGATACTCGGCCCGACAGCCGGGACACGCCAGGAAGCTTTCATTCAGCAAGCTGCCATAAGAGGAGCACTCGGAGGGGGGGTGTACCGCTTCACATGAGGTTTGATCCGGCTGGTCTCTCTAATATAAATGGAGTCATTGATCAGTTATTAAAAATCAACTTTTCAACTAGTTCTATAATTTGTGTCCAGAAAGAACATACAGCTGTATTTTTCTTAAATATTAACAATGGATCAAATTAAGATATGTAATTTCAAACCGGTGATTCATAGTGACTCGGCCAGAGAAATTATTACCAACTTATTCTGCCCCAAGAAAATGTAATGCAGCTTAAAGGTTCATCACTAATAAAGTTTGGATATACTATTTACAAATTAAGTGATTTTCATACCAACCTGTTCTTTATTTTTTTGCAGCTTCTTCAGAACCCCGCCCGTTTGTTTCTTTAAATACGCACAGTTCTGCTTCTCATCATCAAGGTCTTGTGAAGAAATCTTTATCTAAAATTAGAAAAGTCCCCATTACAATATCAAAAAGTATAGCTGTAGAAATATATATATTTTTAATTACGAATAATTTGTAGTTTAGATTGCGAAAATGATCTGTGTCATTATTGAAAGTGTATGGATTAACAACATGCCTTAATTTCTAGTTAATACTAAGGATGTATTCAACCAAGGGGACAAGATCATCGATAACCGATACTTTCATACCTGTCGCTCCAAGTCTTCAATCGTTTCCTGGTCTGCATGGTGACTATTCAAAAAAGCCTTCTGCATGACAGTAGACTAAAAAGAGAATGTTATTCTACATTTGGAGGCTTTACATTTTTCCTATTTGCTAAAAAAAAAAGTTCAATTAAGACCTACCTGCAGAACGATGCGTGCCGACTTGCGCTTCTCCTCATTCAGTCTGCATTGAAGGTCTTGAGTCTCAGCGGTGATCCATTGGTCCTCATCCTCAGAGCATTGAAGAGGTTCCTCTGGACTTTTTCTGCTCGTAATTTCATTTTGCAGCTGCTGCTTGAGCTCTTCCACCTCACGTTCCCTTTCTTGGCACCTAAGGATCAAACAGCTTGTCAAGTAGCGGACTAGTTTTCAACTTTGCCAACTTTAAAAAAGGTTTATAATGTTCATTTTGTAGTAGCAGACATACTGGTTTCGGGTTATTATCAGGGTCTGCTGGATCATGTTGATCTGCTCCCTGAGCACATCCAGCTCCTCTATGGCTTTCTGTAGGAGTCTTTCATAGTTCTGCTGCATCTGGGTTAGTATTTGTTCATTCTCTGTAATAAAGGAGGCAGAAATGGTCATGTTAAAATATAGATATATGTACAATGCATGATTTGTCCGATGCATAAAGACATAGATCCTTAAAGACTGGGTCCTTGAGGGTGATCTTGATATCTTAAAAACTGTGTTGTGACAGTCTGTTGCCCCTTGTTGCTCCAGTGGTGAGTGCCCACTGCCCACTGTCCCTCTGGCTCACCCTCTGAATGCTCCTCATTGTGCCGCTGTGAGCGACTCTGATTGGCTTCATTCAGCTGCTTCTCCAGCCATAACATTCTGGCCATGATTTCCCTCACATAGGCCTCTCTCTGCTGGTCATATGCCAGCCACTGCTTGTTCTTCTCCAAGGCCTTGGGGGATTGAATAAAAGAATGAGAAGCACATAACAGAGAAAGACAGAAAGAGAGTTGTGCCAGGGTTTAAAGCAAAAAAACACTCAGTAAGACATTTATACTGTACACAGAGGCACTGCTTCACTTAGATACAAATGCAAAACAGAAGAGAGTTAAAGATGAAAAAATAAAAGAACGTTGGATTAGGCATAACTGAAAAATAAAAACAGTAGAGACATTTTCCAGATGTGTGGTCACTACACAGCACTTACATCACTGAGTTGCTTTGGGAGCTCTGCTGTGGTTATTGTTGAGTCCCATTCACTTGAGGCAGACTCCTACTTGACAAGGAAATGACAGTACAGCATTACATATACGTTAATGAACAGACTTTATATATATATTTTTTTTATTTAATAAAAAACCAAACATAGTGAGATGTCACAACAAGGTCCAAAGTACAGCCCAGTGGGATTTGGAGCATTATATTCTTTGTTTTATGACCTCTAACATATCCAGAGTGTCACTGGGATGGTATGCTCTGTATGAGGAAGAGTGTTTTTAATGGAGAACAGAGATCCTTCACTAAATGGAAAACACTTAAAAACAACTGCTGCCATCTAGTGGTGTAAAACTGGCAAGAGGCTAGAGAAGCTTTCTCAGTAGGAAGCAAGTAGCAACACAACCAAAAGCATTTTGTTTTTTTAAAAGAAGGACATTTTGACAAATCACCGCATTTCAAATTAAAACTCAAATGCTGGGGGTCCTCGGGCTGAGGGTCCTTGTATTGTGCATGCTGCCTTTCAGTCATGACTTACTGGGACATATGAATGACGTTTCCGTGGAAGTGCCAAATAACATATCATGTAATAGAGGATTTTACAAGAAGAAAGGAAAAAAACTTGTTGTAATTCCCATAACAGAACACATATTTCCTTTAACAGAACACAAAAATGTTTTTCTTATAAAAGGGCAGGTATGTTTGATGCCTTATCATTAGTTACTTGCATTCAAATGTATAGTTTTACCTTCTTCCCTGCAACTTTGTTCTCGAGATGTTGACACCTAGTTGAAACACTCACAAGCTTGTTCTTGATCTCATCAGTGACCCCACAGTAACTGGATAGGCTTCTTTTTCTTCTCATACTCACTACGTCCATCAGATTCCCTTCTTTCTGTCTCAACTGCTTCGACGGCAAAGCAATATTCTCCTGTTTGTCTGTGAGCTGATGAGAACTCTCCAGTCGAAAGGTTTCAAGAGAGAGGAAGCGCTGCGAAAAGACATTACAAATATATATGGTTTACTATTGATAAACAACTCTAAAACAAAACCCTGCAGTACAGGTTGAGAAATATTTAAACAGCACTGATAGTTTGGATGAGTAGTTTGAATAGGTTTACCTCTAACAGCTTGTTATGTTCTGAATGTTGACGAGACAGCTCAGCCAGGGTCATCTTCAGGTAGGAGTTCTCCTTCCTCAGACTGCTGACAACCACATCAAGCTCAGGGTTGGGCTTTCTCCTGGGGCTACCCTTTTGTTTGGGGGACGCCATCTCAAGCACCTGTGAAAAAAATATAACAAGACACTGACACTTTCAAAAAATAAAACATTTTAATTTTTTGTCAGAATATACTATTTCAACTCTGAATGGATCCAAATTGATCACAAAAACTGGAAAAACTTAACCCAAGATAGTTTTCTAATCGTTTTTGAAGAGAAATTAAACATACATTCACAGCTTATTATCAGATCAAAACAATCTCATTTTAATGCAGGAAAAATCATGCAATGTATTAAAAAGATTTTATTTTCAGTGGCAATGGCCTCCAGATGTCTATTACATTTAATTCAAACCTGGAGCAGTATTTCAAGAAATCGAAACATGCATCTATCAAAGCTAACATGACCCAGTACTCGGCAACAATTTAAATATCTGACGATCACTGAATCAGATTAAAAGCTCCAGAAATGCCACCTAATGGACGTAGAGGAGACCGTTTTGGACTCTTTTGGCTCCAGTAAATTATTGATAACTATGTTTAGTTCATCACAAAGGGTAAAAAAGTAGCCAAAGTTAACAGATATCACATCCTCATCCTCACTCACTGGCTCAACGAGGAATGGACTGGTGGTTAAACTGGATGCTGAATTTGCTAAACTAATAGCTAACGTTAAGCTAACGTCAATTTAGCAAAGAAATATCTATTTGCACACTTTGAAGCTGTGTTTTTGTTGCAGGTAATATTGACAAATGTAATATAACACCATATAATGTTGGTTAAGCTAGACAGGTAAGCATATGTTGGGTGGAATAAAAACAAAAGTTGAAAAAGCGTTAATAGCAACTGTAAGCTAAAACCTCGCTAGCATACATTGTTGATTCACTAAGTGTACGAAACATGGCTTTCAACGTCAGATTAAACGCCTAAATGAATCTTGATCATTTGAAAAGACATTTCACAATGTGCACTGCATTAGCATATTTAGTTAGCATCGTTACCTTGGGAGGGAGTGATGGCCGCTAGTTCAACAGTCTGTCATTGGATGGATTATTGTGCTACTTTAAATACCGCCGCCCAAAATCCACCGCCCACGACGCCAACTTTAGCTTCAACAGAGCAGTTACCGTGCGAGCATTTGGAAATAACAATGATGTAGTTTCTGGGGCAGCGCTTTTTCTTACTTAGTGCTATGTGTGTTTTGGTTGTGTTTATTTTTAAAAGTATGGAGCGAAGGCTAATTCGAATCTGCATTCTATCATATTTTTATTTTAAGGAAGGATGCATTACGTACAACGCCACTGGGAGGCGCTGCAGTACAAGAGAATAGTGGACCAACTCTGCTGGTTTTCCTGGATGATGCCTGAATTAACTCATAGTTGTAAACAGAAATACCAATCAATATTAAATATGAGGCATTTAAAAGTGTTTAACTAAAAAGCTAGACTGACTATCCGTGTGATATCTCAGTTTTTTTTCTCCAACTAACTTCCCACACTCATGTAGGCTACTCTTGTGTTTCATACAAGTAACATGTAATAATCATGCCTCTGACTCATGAGTGAGGTTGCCCTGCGGAATCCACTCCTCTCTTGAGCACATCTGTGTGTTTCAGTTTCCTCTGAGGGGCTCCCTGTCTCTCCTCGGAATATGATTTGTTTCTTTGAATAAGTTTGGAGTTTATCAAAAATGCTGCGGGTCATTGTTGAGTCCGCTAGTCGGATCCCCAAGAAGACATTTGGAAACCCAGATCCTATAGCTGCGGTTGTCTTCAGAGGTGAGACTTTTTATTTAACTTTTTTGTTTTGGAAACTACTGCAACTTTATGCACCGTTAACTCTATTCTAACTCTTTTTGACATCACTTAGGTAGTAGCCTTGCAGTTTACATTAGGAATCCATTCTTAGAGCTTAATTTGAATATTTTGGCAGTGATTCATTATCAAAACGAAGAATATATCCATATAAGGTCAGGTCATAATAGCAATGTCTGTGTCCACTGATAACAGCATATTATGGCCACACGGCTTGAACTACATATTTACAAAATGACATTCCAAGTTTATTCAGTATTTTTTATTTTTGGAAGAAGTCTCTTTAGGACATAATATGGTAACACAGCTTGTGAGTTTTTGCAAATAAGGAAGCTCACTGTTCATTGTGTTTACAGATGAAAAGAAGAAGACCAAAGCAGTTAACAATGAATTGAATCCTGTATGGAACGACGTAAGTAATGGATTAGAGTTAACTGTTAGTTGTGAAAGTTACAGTGTTGACAGGGAAATGAACCATCTTAGGGCTGCTATTACCTCAGTTAAAACTACTTGTTCTTCTCCGTAATTACAGGTGCTTGAATTTGATCTAAACGGCTCTTCCTTGGATGCATCATCATTCATCAACGTGGTTGTCAAAGACTATGAAACAATCGGCAAAGACAAGTATGTGTATGACAAGCATCAGACATTGAAATTGTGACTTTTGCATTTTTTATATTATCTGCTAAAGACAGTGCTTTTTTTGTCAGATGTGAATGAATACATGACCCAGTATGACTAAATAATGATACTTTAAACACATTCCTGCCTTGCAGAGGAGAGCCTGTGAGTGTTAATTACTTCCCCACAACTGAATGTAGGCGGTCTTTACAGAAACCCCCTCCCAAAAAAACAACCCACCAATGTTACGCTGTGTAATGCAGGTAATGGATGAATAGAAAACCTCTCCACACCTCTACTTCTTGAGAAAGTAGATGTGTGATTATGTGAAAGTGCTTGTTTCTTTGTACTTCAACTACACTTTTAATTTGAATGAAGTAGTCATTATGATCTTTTCTTAAGAAGCAGAGCAGCATGTTTTATCTTAACTGAGATGTACTGTAGGACCCACAGCGACCATGTTAAGATTTGCAGCTGTGTTTACAAAGACGTTGTTTGGTCTTCCTCACAAGAGCATTCCAGTTGAAACTGTTTCCTTAAAAGGAAAACAAGTCATTTATTGGTGCCCCTTATGAAATACCAAGATTGCAATGTATGATATTTTTGACTTCTCAATTTCCTATCTGTTTGTTCGGCACACACATACATTTTGGAGTTGGAGTATCTTCCTCTTTCTGCAGTGCAAGCCAGAAGGTAGAACATAATAACATTTCCATTGAGTCATGCTTGTGACTGATTATGCTTGATATAAATTATTCTGGGGCAGGAACAAGGGATGGGGTGAGGGTGGAGGGGTGTCTACATCAGCCACGCACACACTTGGATATTTTTCCATGATCACTGCCTGAAACGGAGGAGGGGGGGGGGTGAATAAGAGAGCTTGCGCTGGCTTGTCACTGGCACATCTCTGAAGACTAGTTGTAACTCAGCCTGTAATGATCTGCAAAATAGAGAAAACAGTAGAGTTGATACTGACGGGGATTATGTTTGATGCTGGCAACATTTTGTGACCAACTCTCACTGACTTTCTCTGTTTATGAAAACCTAGAGAAATAATATGACTCTAACAAGGGTTTCTAATCTGTAGGTATATCAAGATATGCCATTTTGCAGAGTGCTCAGTTTGTTTGACAAAGTTTGCTTTTTGGCTATATAAGCTTTATTTAAAAGTAATATGTAAGTAGTGGAAAATACATCAGTATGCCAGCCAAGATAATATTATCTGACTCTTTCACTGTGTTTTGTTTCTTTAATGAAGCAGTTCTAAATACTTCAGAATAAAGTTTGAAGTGGTATTTTCTAGTTTCCTAGGAAAGTTGTGATAGTTTGTAGGGCTGCACGATATATCGTGTCGTGACGATAATCGCGTTATGCGCGATATTTACATCGCAGGACGTGCGATATTAAGTAGGCAAATGAACTCAAACACGTCATGTTACAATTATTTTGCTGCTTGCTACAAAAGGAAAACTCGTGTGGCTCTCATGTCAGGGGTACTTGAGTGAGTGACATGCAGGCTCTGCATGCACAGCAAACCATCAATCACAACCATTCTTGATTAGATCACAGCAGGATAAGAAGAAGAAGAAGAAGAAGATACACTTTATTAATCCCTTACAGGGAAATGTCTTTCCCCACTCTGTTGTGTTTACACTCATTACACACACAGGGGAGGATATACATGCACAAACACAGAGGATATACATGCACACACACAACCACATGCAGATAGGAGAGGTGGCAGAGCAGAGAGGCTGCCAGGTACCTGGCACCAAGGGAGCAGTTTTGAGGTTAGGTGCCTGGCTCAAGGGCACCTCGGCAGTGGCCTTGAAGGTGAACTGGCACCTCTCCAGCTACCAGCTCACTCCATCTTTTTTTGGTCCGAGCGGGATGTGAACCGGCGACCCTTCGGTTCCAAGACCAAGTCCCTACAGACTAAGCCACTGCCGCCCCAAAACTGAGCTAGCTCAGCTTGTTGCTCTGATAACTTAAGATCCAGAAGTCCGTGACTAAAATCCTTCATCCGGTTAAATATTGTTGAAAAAATACCAATTATATAGCATTAAAGTTCAAGAAAGGATGGTTTGCGGGAAAAAAAACGGTCTTTTTTTCAATTCCTGTCTTTTTTTCATATCGCAATATATATCGCAGGGGAAGAAAATATCGCAATGTCAGTTTTTTCCAATATCGTGCAGCCCTAATAGTTTGTATAAATCAGTCCTTGCATGTTCTACGGTTAATTACAATTCTAGATATATCTGTGTGATGATGAATAAGGAGCCTGAGCACAATGATGAATATGATCTTGCCTGCTTGCTCAAGACTCCCTTCCCCCCCGCCTCCATTGCTCTATATTTGTCCACCCTCAAACCGGGCGCCCAGGACATGCCTGTGGTAGATGTTAATTGTTTCCATCTCTCTGCTTTTCCTTGTGCACCCTTTTATCCTCTTGGGGCTTGTCCTTTGTAACCAGCTGGAACAAAAATATCCCATTTGTTTGCCTAAGTGATGCTGCTAGACAAAGTGGACATTTATCATGTTTTTTTTGTCATGGGATCATTATTTTGAACATGCCCATTGTTTTGCAATCCATTGCAATCATTAATCACTGTTTCTAGTTGCTACGTGATCTATGTTTGGTAGATAGAGTAGCTGCTGTTTCTCTGTTTGTCATATTAAGTGAAGAAGTGAAATTAGGAAGTAGAAACCACCAACTATCCTGAGCAGTGAATCATTTCAGTCACAAACACCGCGCCCAATTACATAATGTGATCATTTCAAAGATATTGTGCAACAGAAGCATCCTCCTTGTTGTTTCTCTAAACTATTAATCCGATCAAACTATTGTTTTACTCAAGCTGCAGTGATTCATTTGCTGATGTACAGTACTGTACATTTTATTGTCTGACAAAAAGGAAATATACTTGATTGCTTTTCAGGTTTATTGGATCTGCAACCATCTCTCTGAGAGACTTGGCCAGCGGTCACTTGATGTCCCTCCCATCCAAGAACGTGCCGTTGATCAATGAGAAACAACAGGCTGTTGGGGTGAATATCTTTAAAATTACACTTTAGCAAAAACACTAAATGTAAGCCATGCCAGTCTCAGCCCTTGCAGTGGATAATACATGGTGAATTTCATTTTTCAGGCAACAATCAATTTGCTGATTGGGTATGAGCCGCCTGCCAACGCTATGCCAAACCTAAATGACCGACCCGATGTAGACACGTCTCAGGTGGATGGTGGTAAGTAGACAGTCTAAAAATAGAAATAAAATAATAAATGATTTTTTCATTCTTTCCAAAAAAACGAAATCAAAATATCCTTATCCTTTATAATAATTCATGATTATACTTTACTTAGGGTATCCTGATTTACAAGAATAAGATGAGGATATACAATACAAAATAAATAAATAAAGACATGTCTCCAAAATGCAGTTTTACCACCAACTAACCCTCTCAGCAACTGTAAGACATCTAAAAATGGGATCCAAAATGCTACTGATGTGGGTTTCAATTGTTAAAATATACTTTATTTTTATCTAACACTGGATAACAACCCATTGATCCACTCGGATACAAAATAAGGGATTACTGGTAAGGCTTGTAAGTTTTGAGGTATCCGTAATTGAAAGAAACTCTGATTATTAGGG